TGTACCCTGAAGCACTCTGTATAAGCAGCAGCAGACGATGCTTACATCCAGCCCATCAACGTGTTCCAAGAGTTGTGTGTACTTGCGGCCGAACGAAAGGAATTATCCGGACTAAATACATTTCCCTCCCCGGAGTTCCGACGGGCCTACTCACCCACTCTGTTGTGTGTATTTGCAGCCGAACGAAAGGAATTATCCGGACTGAATATATTTCTATCCCGGGAGTTCCTACGGGCCTACTCACCCACTCTGTGGTGTGTATTTGCAGCCGAACGAAAGGAATTATCCGGACTGAATGTATTTCCCTCCCCGGAGTTCCGACGGCCTTTTTAATCCAAATTCATCAGCCTGGAGATAGCAGTAACCTGTTGTTACAATTCTTGTTGACCTGCACTACCAACATGAAGTTCTACATAGCTCACTTGAAGTTGCTACTGATTGTCAATTTATAGTTTCTTTATTAATTTCTAAACCAACCAATTTTAATGCCACTTGGGAAACTATTTCAAAACATCCGTTTTATTAAATAAATGTTAGAAATATCCATGTAGATCTCCTTTTATTTTATCATATTGACTTTTAAAGTCAACAAAACTATGTTAACACTTGTGATGTAAGTATAGAGCTGTACTAAGAGTGTACACATTTTACGTTGCCATCTATTGTACTAGAATCTATTTGATATTACTAACCTAGTGTTATAGAATCTGGACAAGGTTAGTGGGTTCTCCTCTCCTCTATAGTATTCTCTATTTGAATACTCATCAAGTCCGGACAAATAGTAGTCCCCCTGCTTCTGTATAGTTATACTTGCCTCATCATCAACCAGGGTCGTTACCTTGTTCCAAGGTTAAATAATAGAGGTTGTGCCTCTGAACAGAATTTTCCTACTATGAATATCGAGATCAACGCTTGATCTCAATCTTTTGTTAATCTGCAAATTAATCTAATCTTTTTTCGATATCCCCATGATAATTGTACTTTGATGGAATAACTGAAATGAAGAGATTAGGCATTGACCCTAATATTAAAAGTGCCTATAGTTGATATTGAGATTAAGCGATCATGATTTTAAATATCAATACAATAGTTCCCAGCTCAGTTATCCTGAAAATGTCGCCCCAAAGCAACGATGATTCCAACTCCGTATAGTGAAGTCGCTTATTATTTTTTAAGAGGGCTTTTGGCATAATTTTAAGTTAATCCCCAATTGTAGAGCTTTATGTAGGGCTGAGCCCGTTCCTGTCTTTTTTAAACCGTTTGTTCCTCCTTCAAGATGAGGGCCTTCCGATAGATTGTTCGTTCCTTTTTTTGTTCTTATTCCAATAGTTCAATCCCCGTACCGTACTGTTCTTTGTGTTTTTAAATCGAGAATGGTTTAGAGAACGGTTCCAAGGAACAAGTTGGAAGGAATTGAATGGGGAGGAACGGTACGATTGGTCAACCCACCCAAACTGACAGAATTTTTATACAGAAAAATCAAAACTTTACAATTTTCATCCATTTTTACTATTTTAAGATGATTTAGAACGCGTTTTCAACCAATTACCGCTCATTCCACGTTTGTTCTCTTATAGATCGTTCCAATATTTTTAAGAACGCGTTCCGACTATTTAGAAACCGTTCCGTTCCGTTCTAAAACAAGGGTCTCCAGTTACATTGTTTGTTCCTCGTTCATCGATCCGTTCTGTTCCGTTCTTAATGTTCTTAGTCAAAAACTGTTCCGTTTCGTTCTTTGTGTTCTTTGTGTTCTTTGTGTTGTGTGCATTCTATGATGGTTCCATCTCAAGTGTTAATAAATTTATATAATTACTTAATATTATGGTGTAAGCTTCAAGGGGTGAAAAATAGAGATGGAAACGTTTCTTGAACAATATATAATGATATGAAATATATATTTACACTAAAGGCAGTATTGATTAAAGCTTTTTTAATGAAACTTTTTTTAATATAGGGCAAAAGTGAGATTTTAAAGTATATTTTTTTTGTATATAATTTAATCATACTTAAATGGAATATATTCGTAATTTCAAGTGACCCTTCATTTAAAAAGTGGCAGTCCGATGTACCTTTGAAACTTTTATTTCTCCATCGTTTCTGAAGCAATTTCAATGCATGAGTCACTTTTGTAAACAAACCTCCAGATGTAATGTTAGATGATCCCCCCCCCGGCGTTCCTGACTTAAAACGTGTTCCAGATAATAGGAACACTTTCCCGATTTTAACGACGTTCTTTTCAAACAATTATCGTTCGTTCCACGTTCGTTATTTTAAAAAACGTTCCAATATTTTTAAGAACGCGTTCATGTGTTCATTCTTTTTTCGGAACGATGGCATCGTTCTTGATAATTTCGTTCGTTCTCATGAAAGAATGATCAGAGCAAATTCAGAAAAGTCCAACATTCTTTCTTTTCCTCATATTTAGATTGATTCTTTACAAATTGTTTAAAAATAGTATGCAATCATCAGATAACCAACATGAGATTTTTTATATATATGTATATCTATATATAAATTTGGCTTGTCTGTCTGTCTGTCTGTCTGTCTGTTTGTTTGTATCCAATAAACGTCAAAACGGCTGAACCGATCGGGCCCAAATTTTTTGTGGGACATCTAGGGACCCCAGGGAAGGTTTATGAAAAATCAAAATTTCAAATATTTGTCTCCATCAAAATTCGATCGTCATTAAATTTTTTAAAATTTTGAAAATCCGCGAAATTTTTTGTAAAAATCCGCGAATTATTTTTGTTTTGTTTTACGATGTACACAAAGAGAACATGTTCACAACTAATTTAGAAGATGGGCGCGAAGCGCCCTCTAAGGCTAGAAAGAAGGGCGCGAAGCGCCTTGAATTTCTAGTATATATATACTAGCTGAAGGGTTGGCGTTGTCCGTGAAAATAAGAAGAAGAAAAAGTTTTTTAAAAAATCGATTTTTGAGAAATACAAATTTAGATTTTTATGGGTTCCCTCAAAATCTCAGCTCATTCGGTCCAGCCGTTTGGCACATATATACGAATTTCTTGTTTTATTATGTAGATATGTAGATTGCTATGGAGACAGTATGTTAAACATCTTCTATATAACCTTGCCTTATTTTCAGTATTATCAAACACTAAAACAGGAATCCATATTAGTCCTTTTTCTTCGATTGAGAGAGTATTTAGTCCTGAATCATTACGTAGGTCGAAGAAGGTTAGTCTGCTGTCATACCATGAGAAATGGAGATAGAATTGAATCTGTAAAATATAAAAAGTAAAAGATCTTCAGTCAAACGTTTATTGATATTTGAGCTTTCTAAAATACAATATGTGCAAAACTAAAAATTGTGATGAAATGTACTCAAATGAATTTGTTGAATTTTTTACCTGGAATATGGAGGACTTTTCGTCTATATCTAGAATGTCCATAATGTCTGCAGACACTTTGATCACAATCTTTGATGAGTTTCCCTAAGATTTGAAATAGGCATTGTTTTCATTAACGATAAATTTCTCAATTTTCGTTCAGAAGAATTAGCGAACAAAGAACGATAGAATTGGATCGTTTGTTCATTGTTCTGTGTTCACAAGAAGCAATAGTTTGTTCAAACCGAACAACAAAACAATAACAAACGATTGTTTAGATAAATAAAAACAAATTCAAATTTGTGTTAAAATGTTGAATCTAACTAACAAAATGGTTCGTTAACGAGCGATAAATGAACGAATTGAAAATCTAGCAGAATGCTTCCATCTCTACCTGAGGTTGTGGAGATATATATTTCTGATAGGACTTGTCAGGGTTGATCCTTAGACAACCAACTTCGTCACTCTTATCTCTGTAATTAGGGTTTTCAGTGTGATTCGAAAATCAATCTCGGTTTTTTCGTTACAATCTGATGCAAAGAAAATTTATGTCTGTGGTGAGGTATCATCTCCTCTGTAAGGAGAAAATTGTTAAAGAAGTCTCATACCGAAGAACGTAGTGTCCATACAAATTGAGCAAATTGCAACATACGACTTAGACCGTAAAAAAATCAATTTAATTTCAAACAAATCATTCAGATATTACAACCTATAGTCATCGATTATCTTTCGCCACATTTAAATTTTCTCCTTACAGACGCAACAGATAGAAGTAAGATTAGTAGCGATCAAAAGCGCTTTTTTATCGCATTAAGCCTATACCCCCTTTCATTTTTCGCGAACACTCCCTTTAACTAATTTCTGTGCTGCCCGTCAATGTTTGCAAATATTTATCTTTATTTAAGGATTTCCGCGCAAATTCTTATGCAAATAAACGCAATTCTACAAACTGCAAGCAAATATTCGCGAAGCCGCTCAAAAATTATCTTCCGACGGAAACCCTACCTGCAATCAGTTCTGCTGTTGCATCGTTTCTTGATATCGATACATAAACCGTTACTGCAGGTAAACTCCTCGTTCAGGCATCTCGATAACGTGAGAGTTGTAATCTCCTTCTCAGGGCAATCAATGTCATCCCTACAATTAAACTGTAGATTGAATTTTCCTTGTACTCATTCGCCATTTATTGGACTAAGAGTACAAAATTAAACATTTTATAGGACAAAGAGTACAAAATTAACCATTTTTATAGGACTAAGACTACAAAATTCACCATTTATAGGACTAAGAGTAAAAAATTCACCATTTTATAGGACTAAAAGTACAAAAATAACCATTTTATAGGACTAAGAGTACAAAATTCACCTTTTTATAGGACTAAGAGTACAACATTTTTATGATATATTTGACATACATACATTTGCCATAATTACACTTGCCATAAATACTTTTTCCATCATAAGTAACAATTGCCATAATTTACAAACTGGTTGAAATCCAAATTTTCTGAATGGAGGACCATAAGTGACAATACTACCAGGAAAAAGGTAAAAAAAAACCATGGTTTAAAACAGCAATAACTATATGTACGAGTTGAGACATTGATAGTTTATAAAATAGTATCCGAGTTGAGGCATTGATAGCTTATGAGATTGTGTCCGAGTTGAGGCCTAAATAGTTTATTAAGATAGTGTCCGATTTAAGGCATTGATAGTTTATAAGGTTGTATCCGAGTTGAGGCATTGATATTTTATAAGATTGTGTCCGAGTTGATACATTGATAGTTTAAAAGATTGTGTCCGAGTTGAGGCATTGATAGTTATAAGATTGTATCCGAGTTGAGGCATTAATAGTTTATAAGATTGTATCCGAGTTGAGGTATTGATAGTTTATAAGATTGTATCGGAGTTGAGGCATTGATAGTTTATAAGATCGTGTTCGATTTAAGGCATTAATAGTTTATACGATCCTGTCCGAGTTCAGAAATTGATAGTTTATAAGATTGTATCCGAGTTGAGGCATTGATAGTTTATAAGATCGTGTCCGAGTTGAGGCATTGATAGTTTATAAGATCGTTTCCGAGTTGAGGCATTGATAATTTATGAGATTGTGTCCGAGTTGAGGCCTTAATAGTTTAAAAGATCGTTTCCGAGTTGAGGCATTGATAGTTTATAAGGTTGTATCCGAGTTGAGGCATTGATAGTTTATAAGATTGTATCCGAGTTGAGGCATTGATAATTTATAAGGTTGTATCTGAGTTGAGGCATTGATAGTTTATAAGATTGTATCCGAGTTGAGGCATTGGTAATTTATAAGATCGTGTCCGAGTTGAGGCATTGATAGTTTATAAGATTGTATCCGAGTTGAGGCATTGGTAATTTATAAGATCGTGTCCGAGTTGAGGCATTGATAGTTTATAAGATTGTATCCGAGTTGAGGCATTGATAATTTATAAGATTGTGTCCGAGTTGACGCATTAATAGTTTATAAGATTGCATCCGAGTTGAGGCATTGATAATTTATAAGATTGTATCCGAGTTGAGGCATTGATAATTTATAAGGTTGTATCCGAGTTGAGGCATTAATAGTTTATAAGATTGCATCCAAGTTGAGGCATTGATAGTTTATAAGATTGTATCCGAGTTGAGGCATTGATAATTTATAAGATCGTGTCCGAGTTGAGGCATTGATAGTTTATAAGATCGTTTGAGAAACCCTTATGGAGGGCATTTACTATATATATGCTTACATAGCTAATTTATCTCTTGAAGAAATTAAGTATTTGAAATGTAAGTTAAATTATGGCTAGCGTAATTATTGCAAATGTAACCATTATGACAAGTGTTACTATTGTATAATGGCAAACATATTTTGGCTAACGTATTTATGACAAGCATATTATGGCAAACGAAACTGAGCCACAATATAGTCAACTCTTTCCATTTGAAATATAATTGGTATTGGGAATGTTTAAGTTATTTAAAGAGAGAAACCCCCAATTCACGACTGTTCCCTTTAAACCATTATCTAATTATAATAGTGTGATTAATTTGCAAGAAAATCATGAATAACAATAATCAAAAGATATATTATAAATTCTTAATTATAGTTTTTTAGGGTACAGTTGTCAACTGGACATTTAATTTTGACATTTTTGGTAAGTATAAATTGTGTAAGGGCTACCTTATAGTCCAGTTGTGTGTTCCCATTACAAAAGTTTCTAGGCCTGCATTTGAAACAGCCATAGCAGTAGGATTGTTAACATTTTTCATAATCCACAGTCGTTGCTAAACAATTTTTTTCCCTTGTTTTAGGCAAAAAAATCAGAAGATCAAATGCCATGATCAAATGCCAAATTATACAGTACAAACGCAGTACATTTCAATTAGGTCTACAAGCTAGAAATGTAAACAAATCTGGGTAAAATCATATAAACTGATCGTACTACATTGTTTATCTCAAAATCGGTTAAAGAACCTGTCAAATCTTTCGTTGGGATGTTTAGAAAGATGAAAATTTCCCTGTATGATAATTGAAGGACTGCAGTATGGTTTTGGTGAATTATTAATTAAACAATATTAAAGGATTGATAAACTTGAAGCCAAGGATCCTAATTAAACAATATTAAAGGATTGATAAATTTGAAGCTTAGGATCCTAATAAACAATATATTAAAGGATTGATAAATTTGAAGCCAAGGATCCTAATAAACAATATTTAAGGATTGATAAACTTGAAGCCAAGGATCCTAATTAAACAATATTAAAGGATTGATAAACTTGAAGCCAAGGATCCTAATTAAACAATATTAAAGGATTGATAAACTT